TCTATCTATCTATCTATCTATCTATCTATCTATCTATCTATCTATCTCAATCATCTATCTATTATCTATGTGTCTATCATCTATCTATCTCTGTCTGTCTGTGTCGGTCTGTCTATCTATGATCTATATATCTATCTCTATCATCTATCCATCTCTCTCTCCTTCCCTCCCTCCCTCTCTCTCTCTCTCAATTGTCTGTCTATCTATCTATCTATCTATCTATCTATCTATCTATCTATCTATCTATCTATAGAAAAGGAAAGTTATCTAATGTGCAAAGGTCTGTGAATTCAATTTCCCATTAACATCTGGCTACCCACATCTGATGAAACAGGATGAAATCAATCACAGAGTGTCTCTTTCAAAGGATGTAAGAAATTTCGTTTTGTTTTTGGGTTGTCTTGATCTTTTTCATAGCAAACAAGCAGCCAAAAATGTTTTAGGGTTGGAGTTAGGTTCCATGTCTTGCAGTGTGCAAATAACGTAGGTGTATTTTTACACATATGAATGCTACTGCAAATCTTGTCATTTAGTGAAGAAGTAAGATACACACATCCCCTAACTGATTCAGAATGGATGTTCATTAGGTCGATATAAAGGCTTCCATTCTTTTCTCTCCTGTAAATTTCATATAAACCAACAGCCCGAACCTTTTGTCAAGGTTTGTTGGTTCCTGGCAAATAATTCTCCGAACGCAAAACAATTGCAGGAAGGTGAAGATTTTTTTTCTCCATAGAAACCATGGGAAAATAGCAATCACATTAGACCTGTGTGTTATCTCCACCTGTTCAGACTGACCCGGAATGTCCCCCTTTTAAAGAATCTCAGAACAAACTACACTGAAATAATAGGAAATACTTGTAGCCTCGGGTTTTAGACTTGGGCAGTGGTTTCCTCTCCAAGCTGGTTTCAATTTAGTTTCTGAACATTTTGTTACCAGACTAGCTTAACATCATCAGCAGGACTTTCTTGTCCTATTCCTCTGTAGCTTATAAACGTCTTGTGTGCCAGTGTGGTCAGTTGGTTGAGCAAATAAAAACAAGACATTTATAAGCTACAGAGGAATAGGAGAAGAAAATCCTGCTGATGATGTTAACCTAGTCTGGTAACGAAATGTCAGAAGCTAAATTGAAACAAGCTTGGAGAGCAAAAGCACTGCCAAAAACAAACTACATCTGTGATGGCGAAGCTATGGCATAGAGCCATTTGTGTGGGCACACGAGCCCCAGCCAAACTGACCTACACTGCGCATGCATACACCTCCCAGCTGATTTTCGGCCTGTTTGAGGCCATTTTCACCCTCCCTGAGGTTGAGGGAAGCCTCCGCAGCCTTGGTAGGCTGAAAAAAACGGGCCTTCCGGAAATTACTGGAAGTGCCAAAACGGGCCTGTTTTTCGGCCTCCTGAGGCTGCAGAGGCTTCTCTCGAGTCTCTGGGAGGGCGAAAACGGCCTCAAATGGGCTGAAAAATCAGCTGGGAGGTGCGCATATGCACAGTGCAGGTAAGGGGGCGGGGTTGAAATGTTGTATGAGCATGTGCGGGGGGCGCATTGCATTGTGGGTGCTGGCACGTACGCGCTTTTGCCACACTACAACAAAAAGGTTTGCCATCACTGAATTACATTTTCCCACCTAGATTGCCGCTGTTTCTGGACTTTTCCTTTCCCAAAGTTTTAGCAAGAATTCCACCCTGAAGCTATGCAAAATGCACAGGAATTATTTGGAGCTTTTCATGACGATGCCTCGCAGCGACAATGATCCCCCCTGCTCTTCCCCTTACCTTTGCTTGCTTTATGAATATCCTTGTCCATAGAGCAGGCGGTGCAACAATGCTGAGGGCAACGGAATCCTCGGGATTCAAAAACGGCTGTCGTAAACTTGCGGACACAGGCCTCGTGGTAGAATTTGCCACATGCGTTGACCGAGCAGCGCTTCACGTCTTTGCCGGGAAGTTTGCAGGAAAAGCATATATGCTGCCCTTTGAAGAGGAAGAAACGTAAAAAGGTTGAGCGGCTGCTTGCCAAGTGTTTTTGTGATTAGGATGCAGTACTGCAGGCTACTTCTACTGGCTGCCGGAAGTTCGACAGTTCAATTCTCATCGGCTGAAGGTTGACTCAGCCTTCCATCCTTCCCAGGTCAGTAAAATGAGGAGCCAGATTGTTGGGGGACAATATGGTGATTCTGTAAACCTCTTAGAGGGGACTGTAAAGCACTGTGAAGCGGTATATAATAAGTCTAAGTGCTACTGATGTCTTCTCTCTCTCTCTCTCTGTCTCTCACTGTTTCTATCTGTATGTATCATCTATCTATTCATATCCATCCATCCATCCATCTGCAGTATTGCAGGCTAATTTAGCTCATTGCCAGGAGGTTAGATCCTGACTGGCTCAAGGTTGACTGAGCCTTCCATCCTTCCAAGGTCAGTAAAAAAAGGAGCCAGATTGTTGGGGGCCAATAGGCTGACTCTGTAAACTGCTGTAAAACTCTAGTACATAAGCGGTATATAAGTGCTACTGATGGGGCAGGAACTAAGCAATAAACCTTTCCTATCTGGCAAGCAGAGGTCAACACACGACACCACTGTTTGGCGAATTGTATTGTTTACCATTTTGCTTCTGGGTCCAATTCAAGGAACAGGTTATTGTCTTTAAATCCCTCTATGGCATGGGTCCAAGGTATTTGAGGTGCCACCTTATCCCAATGGGACTTGCCTGCCCCATTTGATCCAGAGGAAGTGGCCTACTGGGAATTCCAGTGGATAGGAATTCACAGTGGACCAGCTCTGCAGAATCGAATCAGGTGGTCTATAAAGAAACCAGGCTTTGTGATAAGTGGGGTTTTATAATAACAACCAGCAGCTGGACTCACACCTGGAAATAAATTGGCAACCAGCACACGTGTTACATAGATATACTAAACGTGCCCATTATTGCTCATTCTGGACCAGTGAAGGTTTCTGGGAAGTCTTCAAGGGCAGCCCCAGGTAGAGAGCATTGCAAGGAGCCAAACCGTGAGATGGTTAGTGACTGTCTAAAGGGCCTCCTGGAATATACAACTGGGTATCAACAACATACTGCTTAGAGTCCATGGAGATTCTTAGTCATCCAGGTCATGGTTGTCCCAAAGGTGCTTTTTCAAGAGGTAACTGGACTTTCTGGTTTTTCTTTGAAGACGTTCCGTTTCTTACCCAAGAAGCTTCTTCAGCTCTGACTTCTTTAGCTCCCTTCTCCGCCATCCAGTCAGAGCCCAAGAAGCTTCTTGGATGAGAAGCGAAACATCTTCAAAGAAAAACCAGAAAGTCCAGTTGCCTCTTGAAAAAGCACCTTTGGGACATACTGCTTAAAGGTTAAAAGCAAATCCCACTTCACATATTCTGCAATTTAATCTTCCTTTTCTATCGATCTAAAAAGAATATGAAAATCCAGCTTTCCTAATGAGTGATAGGGGTTGGATGCAGAACGCAGAGCTGGGACGGTATCTCATGGAAGACATTTTCAAACATGGCTGACAGTGAGAGGATCTAACAATATATTCCTGTCAGTTTTCCAGAGGCTAAAAAACCCCAGGCTGTTATGTCAATTTTTTTAGCTATCCAATGTGAAGGAAAACAAAGAGGACCAATATTCTAAATGGAGATCAACAGGAAAAATAGGTTATCTAGTTAATGCTTAAGCTCAGTGCTAAAACACAAATGACTGCAACTTCATGCTACAGAATGTGGGTTAGGCTTGAAATCTTAAATCCCAAACCATTTTGAAAGACAAAACAAGCAAGAATTCACTGAGCAGACTTTCAAAAGCCCGAACGGATCCTTCTTTAGTAGCGTTCAGAACTTTTGGCGCTCCAGCCCCTTTCTCAAGGCAACAACAACAATCATAATAATAATTCCACCCATTTACCATTTTTGCACTCCAGGCAGATAAATTTCCCATCAGGCTGTGAGCTCAATCCGAGGCATTCTGTATGGAAGACCCTGTAGCATTCACCTTCGCAGGAGACTAGAGATTCACCGGTGCTTTCACAAATCTTAAGAAAGAAAAAGGAGGGGAAAAAAAGAATACCAAAAAGAAAAAAGAAAGAAAAAAACCTCATTAAGTTTCTAATTCAATCAAGTCGAAAAGCTAAATTGTTTTCTTGTGCTGGATTTCCGTACCGTTTTCAAGGTTCCTTTACTAGAGAAATATTTTCCAGAGACCAGCACGCTCCACCGTATAAAAAAAGGACAAGATACCATGATGGAAAAGATATCAGGCATGGAACAAAATCGGGGCTAGCTTCCTCGTTTGGCAGGACTGGGCTGCTGGGGGTTCACAGGGGTTCTGGAGAGGCCCCTCGCTAAGATTCTGTGCAATTTGGAGAGCCCCCAAATCCCACGCCTGGTTGTCCCTGCCTGCACCTCCCCCCTCCTCTCCCAGGAGTCCCCAGGTGATCCGTTTTGGATGCAGGTAAAGTGTAGGGCATGCATGGAGACTCGGGGAGGGTGAAAAACGGGCCTCCCGGAATCCTTATGGAATAATTATCTTCCTTTCCCTCCCTTCTTTATAACTCTTTTAACAAGGGCCCAATGGGGGATAATTTTTGGGGGGCTCAAAGTTTGTTTCTATCGTTGGTTCGAACTTGCAGTTCAGATCCAAGAAATACCATCTAGGTTTTTTCTTTTCTCTCTCTGTGTGGCCAAGGCAGGCAGGCAAATTTCAGGATCAAAGTCCTGCATCAGGAGGCGACCCTAGGTGTAGAGGCTAATATTTGGAATAGGCTCTCCTGCTCGAGCAGGGGGTTGGACTAGATGACCTCCAAGGTCCTCTCCAACTCTGTTATTCTATGATTCTATGATTATTTTTTTTCATAAATATGATAGTTACAGTCAGTACAGTAGTACATAAGAGCGTATCAGATCACATCCCTTCACAGGGATTTAGTGGGAGTGCGTGTGTGACACATACAGACAGATGCAGGGCTGGGCTGCTGCGGGTTCGCTGAGGTTCAAGAGAGCCCCTTGCAAAGATTCTGTGCAGTTTGGAGACCCCCCCCAAATCCCACTCCTGGCTGGCCCCCACCCAGGTGGCCCATTTTGGATGCAGGTAAGTGCAGGGCCACCACGGAGGCTCGGGCAGAGTGAAAAACGGGCCTCCCGGAAGTTCAGGAAGGCCGGAAATGGGCCCGTTTCCAGAGAGCCTCCGGAATCCAGGGAGGCCGTTTTCACCCTCCCGGAGGCTCAAGGAAAGCCTCCGGAGCCCGGGGTGAGCAAAAAGGTGATGCAGGAGGCTGAGTAGGCCGTGCCCATCATGGCCACGCCCACCCAGCAACCGGGCAGAGGACCCTTTGCTAACATTTTGGATGTTGATATGTATTTTCTAATCACTCTTTCCCATGAGGTGACGTCCGGATTTTGATCACCTGAGTGTGAGGATGCTGCAAAAGTCGTAAGTGTGAAAGCTTTTTTTCACTACTGTTGTAACTTTGAACTGTTTTTTTTTTTAAGTTGAGGACTACCTGTATAGTCCTGCCTCGCATAGGTGTGAATAATTAGGAAGGAAATAAATAGTTATTACAGTTATGTTCACCTTGCAAAAGGGTTTCGGATGTAGACGTTTGATGGCTCCCCTGCCTGTTATGTGAAAAATGAACTGGAAGGAGGAACTGGTCATCTGCCCCATATTTTTGTTTTATTCACCATATTTATGTTTCAACTCGGCTGAATGAGAAGACTCTGAAAATCTTTTCTTTCTCTGTTTGCAAGTTCTTATAAAAAAACGAAAAGTCTTGCAGTGCTGATTAACTTGCAAAAGTAATTGCTCACTTATTCTAGCAAAATAATTGATCCTCTTTGAGTGGGCGGACCAGGAAGCTCTAATCTGGCGGGGAATGAAAACCTGTCACTAGATGGCAGCAGATAATACACACACACACACACACACACACACACACACACACACACAGAGGAGGGGAGGGAGAAGGAGGAGGAGAGAGAGAAAGGGAGAGGGAGAGAGAGAGGAAGAGTCAGAGGGAGGGAGGGGGAGAGAGAGAGAAGGGGAGGGAGAGAGGGGGAGAGAGGGAGGGTCAGAGAGGGAGGGGGAGAGAGGGAAAGGCAGAGAGAGGGAGGGGGAGAGAGGAAGGGGGAGAGAGAGGGGAGGGAAGGGGAGAGAAGGAGGGTAGGGAGGGAGAGAGGAGAGGAAGGGTCAGAGACAAGGAGGGGGAGAGAGGGGGAGAGAGAGGGAGGGAGAAGGGGAGCAGGAGAGGGAGGGAGGGAGGGAGAGGCAGAAAGAGAGGCAGAGAAAGAGACAGAGAGAGAAAACTATGGGAGTGGCAGACCTCTGGAAAAAAACTGAGCAATATTAAGTGATGGTCTGAACGGTCTGGATGTGGCTGATAACTGCTGAGTGAAAAAATGTATGAAATCTGAGAGACTGCTCTCCATCCATCCATCTTCCCGCTCTTCCAAATCCTTAAGGACTTCAAAAGGGACGTCCTCTGTTGTGGTGAAGGGTGAAGGATGGTTTTCTGGGCTAATCTGTGAGGGGAGACTCCCAAGGAAAATCAGTAGGTATTCCCTGAGGGGAAGCAGCCCCCTAAACCTCCCGTAGCACCCTAAACCTCAGGAACATTTCACAGGGAGCTTTCCAAAAGAGCTGGAAGTTAGAGGACTTAACAGGCAGAGAGTCAGAATGGATGCTGGTATTTGCTGTCATGGTCAGCTTCCCTCTCTTGACCTTAAGGGAGCAATTACCCTTCACCATCGTGCCATCAAAGACGTTTCCCGTATTTGTGGGTCAGTTTAATTAAGGGGATAGAATCTGTTTTCTTGCGGAAGGCATCTTAAAACTAACGAGTGAGGGGGGGAAAAAAAAAACTAATTTTCTTTTCCACCGAAGCAAGCAAGCAAAAAAGAAATAAATGTAAAATATGGATAGGGGCCCAGAGAAAAGAGCTGCACAAATCAGACAGAGCCACATCCCGACTGAAAGCAAGAAGAAAATAAACAAGATGTACAATCAAACGTATCTCTGAGAAGACCTGAATGTGATTAGGCTGTAAAATAACAAAGGGCCCTTAATGAAAAAGAATTATAAGGATAACCTGCAAATGCACTTTGAGTTTTTTAAGGAGGCGAATGCAAATGAAATCAACCTACAAGTGTAGGTATCTTTGATTTACAACACTTCGGTTAGTGTCATGCCCCTGTTGGAGTCTGATTCTGAGGGGGAGATTGAGCAGCTGACAGGGAGTGGGAGTGTGGCTCTGGTGGATGTGGAGGAAACTGGGGAAGGGCACTCTCCGGCTGGGCATTCAGAGGAAGACCCAGGCCCACCCCCTCTTCATCCTAGGGCATGCAGGGAGGAACACATAAGGGAGCAACATGGCTTACGGGGGAGAAAAAGGCCCTGATTCCCTTCATTAGCTGCAACTGGGAAAACAGGATATAAAGGGTGTTTGCGCACAGCACCTTGCTGGAAGCAAAGCGTGCATTATCTTTGTTTGTCAAGTCTTATCTGGGTTCTGGTGTCCTCCCAACTGTGTGTGTTTCGTTATCTTTTGAAGTCTGCAATTCCTTATCCTGCCCTGTCTCGTTAATTGCTGCAACATGGTTTGTATTGGTTTTTATTTATAATTTATATGTACTTTGGGTTCGGACTAAATTTTTTCCATTTAAAAACTGTTCTTGGGAGTTTTTTCTCCAGCCGATCATAACTGGACATTGGGGGCCAAGTTGGAAGAGTTAAAGGGACTTTACCTGTGACTTTGTTGCTTTTGTGTCACACCCCTTTGGGTCATCACAGTTAGCGACCATTCAAAAGTTACAATGGCACAGAAAAAAAGTGACTTATGACCATTTTTCACTTATGACCATGGTAGCATCCACACAGTCACATGATTTACATTTGGATGCTGGACAATTGACTCACATTTATGTTGATTTGCAATGTCCCGAGGTTGCGTGATCCCCTTTTGCGACCTTCTGACAAGCAAAGTCAATGGGGAAGCTAGATTCACTTAATGACCAGGTTACTAATTTAACTACTGCAGCGGTTCCCTTAACAAATGTGGCACAAAAAATAGTAAAACGGGGCCAAACTCACTTTTAAAAAAAATTCTCACTTAAATTTTGGGCTTATTTGCGGGTCGTAAATTGAAGTCTATTTTGTTTTTATTTGGTTTTTGGTTTGTTTGTTTTTATTATTTGACCTTTTGATATTTGCTATTATTTGACCTTTTGGTAAAGGTTATTCAACAGAAATGAATGTTATAGCAAAGAAAAACTATATTTAATTATTCATGTATTAACTGCAGCTAGAATTGTAATCGCTCAGAATTGGAAAAGTGAAAAAAATTCCAGCAGAGGGAAAAAGAGATTGAGAAAACATTAGAATGTGCAGAGATGAATAGATTAACGCTGGCAATCAAAGACACTGAATGTTATATGGTATGGGATCTATTTTATCAATGGCTTGGAAAATAAAACAAG